GTAGAATCTTTCAAGTCTCATCCACTCATTCTAAATCGATTGTCAAAATAAATTTTAGGAATCAAAATTAGAAATTTTCCTTAGTGGAGTCGCCAAAAACTGTAGGGAATTTTTCAAACTCAACCTTTTGAGCCCCACTGTGCTCATGCTTTTAGGCATGGCGGCACTCCAAGGGAAGGAAGCTAGAGATAGAAGAGTCGCCAACAAGTTTTAGGAAATTGTAAACCGTTCATCGGCGCGAAGGTTACACCCCACTCACGATCACGGAGATCGCTAACTCCATAGTGGTCCGGAACCATGACTGGATATTCGGAGATGATGGTACGAATCCAACCTAAAATAGATTGAACCCGCCCTAAATAGGCCTCTACTCAATTCTTATGATATTCATGTGCGCTTTTTGATCAACATTCATACATCAAATTAGCCCTAAACTTGTTTAAACTACGTTGGTTTATTATTAATGCACAATCAAATCTATTATTGGTGATCACTTGAATCAAAATCATATTAACCTAAATTCAAATTATAAATTATCTTATTACGCGTTATTTCAAGTACAAATTCTCTTTAAACCTGCAGAAAGGGGCGTGATCAAGCAATAACAATAATTCATGAAAAATCAAGCAACATATGATTAATTGACACAACAATCATCATCATAATCAAAATCATCAAAACATCATTATTGAGATCCTAGGCATGATACTAAACAGATTAATTAACAAATCCTAGCATGTCACTAATAAAAATCATAATCAAAGCATTATCCTAAACATGATACTAGAAATCGTAATAACATCCTAACATGATACTAGAAATCATAATAACATCCTAACATGATACTAGGAATTAAAATAATATTTTAAGCATGATTTCTACTCCAAAATCAAAGAATAAAGATAGTAGATTTACTTAATTTGATGCGTTGGCTTTCTTGCTATTGAAACAGTACACGCGTCAGTAAACTTCAAGAAAGATTAAATCAAGAAAGTAAATAAATCAAATATGAATTGAAATATAGATTTGAGACCAAAACCCTCAGAACTATCAACCTTTCACGTCGAGGTCAAAGGCAACGTTGTCGAGGATGGCTTGGAGTATTCGAATCTCGTGAATGAGGTATTATGACTGATTAGGGAGAGTACCAAGGATGTGTTTAGGCTAGGCTAAGAACATGAAGAATCGAGAAAAAGAGAGAGAAGGTATTAGAAAAGGTATTGATGATGATTGTTGGCAATTTAAAATGGGGTGAAATGACTTCTATTTATAGGGAAAAAAGAGAGTTGAAGCACTAGAAAAGAGTCAGAATTTGGAATGGAATAAATAGGTTCCATCACGGTGCGATAGGAGTATCAAAAAAGAGATGGTCCTGTCGTTTTGCGATGGATTCCTAAGGATAAGGATCTGTATGGAGTCCGACTTCCAATAGAATTGGGTTAATCAAATATCCGTAAGTATTCTATTTAAACTTGGATTAAGATTATCAAAAAAGAGATGCTTTATTCAATATCAAATTCTTTAATCCTTATCTTTCATGGAAAGGATAAATTGGAACCTTCTAGAGACTTCTAGAAGTTCGTAATAAATCCTAATTGGTTTAGAATTGGGATTAAGGTATTTGGACCCTCCACATGATCATTGAGTCGTAGGTAAGATGGACCTGAGTCCAATTTGAGCTCGGTTTAGTATTTTGGCCATAATTCGAGCTTATAATATATCGTTGGAAAGCTCTTTTCAAGTCCCATCGGACTAAAAGTAATTGGACCAGAATTATGAACCAAAATAATCAGGTTAGGAAGTTTTTCTGGATTGGACACGAAATGAATGATTTTAAGGGACACGAAATGAATGATTTTGGGTTTAAAACATTTTAGGCAAAGTTAGAAATATGGTTAAGGCTTAAGAGAATTTTACGAGACTCTTCAACTCTTTACCGAACTCATTAATCAAAGACGTGAAAGGTACTCATCACTGGGTTTGGATTTTGGGGAGACACAATCAGGTGTCTACAATACTCCAACCAAACAGCCACTAACATTCAAAAGTCAGCAAAGGAAATAAATCAATGTACTTTGACTTATTCACTAAAGACAACAGAATCAAAGAGCATTTGAAGTTGGCTATCTCAGCAAAAAAAGACTCATCATAGTTGGAAAAAAAGTAAAAACTTATGTCGTTTCAATGGATGGGGTGTATAAGTAGGTTAACACCATTGTTAAAACTATTGACACACCCCATTAGTTGAACAACATAAGAATGAGTGCAACATTACAAGGTCTTATATAACAAGGTGCATATCATTGAAGGCATGCTTTGGATTTAGTTGGTGTCTAATTTAAACTTATTAGCAATCTCATCAAACCAAAAGGAAGAAATAACACAACATCAAGTTATATGGCACAAACACAAAGCCTTATTACTTTATACTCCCATTGTTCATCATTGACCTCAAAAACATGCATATCCTTTAAACATCATATTCTTTTACTAAATGGGATAATTGTAAACTGTACTTTACTAGGTATAGTTAAACAAGAATCCCATTTGCAAAAGAACATAAAGTCAATTTTTTTAAGTTATTGAAAAAGGTCTTATAGTAGTCTTCCTTGTTATCATGGAAGGCTAAGTAAGCAACCAGATATAACAAGGTGCATGCAATCTAATCCCTTATGGCAGCTGCTACCTAATGGTCAAAATCCAAACACCAAAGTCCCTAATGCCTTCTCCATACAAACAAGCTATCATCACAGACTTATGTTTGAAAAACCAACAAAAAGTCATGTTGTGTCAACTGATGGGGTGTATAAATAGGTTACCACCATTTAAAAAACTACTAACACGCACCACCAGTTGAACAACACAAGAATGAATGCAACATTACAAGGTCTCAGGTAACAAGGTCATCATAACCATAGGCAACACCATGGCAACATAAATAAGAAGACTTAAGAGGAAGACACACATTAGAGTTAAAACAACAAGGCAACATGAACCAGGGGAACAAGCATAGGCAACAACAAGGCAACATCAACCATACAAAACAAATGAAGGCAACATCAATAAAATTTAGGCAACCAAATTTAGGCAACATGAACCATTAAAACAAGCCCCAAAGGCAAACCACATTATCAATTCCAAAGTACAAACATTCATACTGTTCAAAACTGTCCAAACTTAAAACTTAGCTTTTTGATTCCTTATTAGAATCTTTGGAAGGGGACTTAGTGTTCTTAGAAGGATAACAACCACCATCACCATCATTAGAGTCTGGTATGTCTCAGAATTGTAGTGTGATTTGGAATCAGTATACAACAACTTGTCAAATTCTGAACTAGTTTGCTTCTCTAAGGGGACTTTGGCAGGAGAATTGGCTGGGGTTTTGGCTGGTTGATCAACCTCATCCTTACAAGCCCTCTACTTTCTATACATTAATATTTCATAGTTGTGGGTGTGATGAGAGTGTGATTCTTGTGAACCAGGAGACTCACTCATGATCACAGGCAGCTTGAACCACAAACATTAACACAAACACATCAATCCAAACATACATAGGAAGGCATGAAACATGAGAGGAAAACATAACACATGAGAGGAAGCTAAAGGGACTTGAGAGGAAGACATGGATAGGGACATGCACAAGAGGATTCATGAGAGGAAGACATGGACAGGGACTTGAGAGAAAGACATGGACAGGGACATGCACAACAGTTCAATCCATGATCCTTTATTTCTGTTTCATCCATGAAACATTCAAACAAGAGGATTCATGAAAAAAACCTCCATACAAAGATTGACACTTAAATCCAAACTCAGACAAAGATCATGTTCAAATCAATATTATGGTCTCAGTATTAAATAAATCATCATGCTCAAAGCAGTGAGTAAGTGAGAGTAACATAAATAAAGGAAGACAAATCACATGAATAGTGAAACCCTAGAGCAGATGAACAGTGAAACCCTAGGTCAAAATTATTCGAATTAACCACCACAAATTCACATTTTATTCATCAAACAACATAATTATTCATGTAAATCCACAAATTCAGAATTACTCGTCCAACAACATAATAATTCAACAAGCCCAACAATTCAACAAAGTGACAACCCAAAAAACCGTAATCCATGATAAAAATTTGTATTTAAAGTAATTCGAAACATAATCAACATATTTTCGCAACATAATCGAACAAAAAAAAACCTTAAAATACCAAAGAGGGTGCAAAGAACAAAAATGATATCTAGCACCTTTTAAAATGCCATACCGCAAAATTTTTTGAAGGCTATGATCTGATTCAACAAGCAGAGCACCGATCCACAATTTTTCCAAGAAATTTTAGCCTTAAAAATGCCAAATCGAAGAGAGAGAATGAAAAAAAAATTTAGGATTCTTCACTGGAAGAACGGAGAGAGAAGTGAAAATGTAGATCCAGAAATGAAGAGAGAGAAAATAATGTTGAAAAAGTAGAGTCAGAGTAACAAAAATCAAGAAAGACAATGAATTAAATAATGCACAAGTACACTTGTAAATATAAGGGCAAAATGGGAAGCAGAGATAATAAAGACAAAAAATATGAGGGCATATTTGTCAAACTGTTTTGTTAGATGGCACCTGGAAATGTAAAATGTGACAAACATTTAGGGGCACCCAAAATGACATAAGTGACAAACAAAAGGAGACGGAGGGAGTTCAAAGTAAAGCTTGTGATCTCTTCATATTTGGTCAGCTTGTTTACAATACAAAAATATTTGATAGCTCTAGTCATGAGATCATGTCAAGGAGTACTAGAGTCAAACATGATGTTATTTATGGGCTCATAGCCCTTAATCTTTAAACTTTCTATGACTCTATTCCACATGAAGTATTTCTCAAGGAATACTATGAATTAGAATAGTATCATTGTCAATGTTCTTTGTATGCACTCAGGAGTTAGGAATACATGAACAATCAAACAAACATTTTGGGCTTCATTCATTTAAGGCCTAGAAAATGAGCCCAAAGTGTGCAAAGGCTTTATTTTTAAAGCAAAACATTTGTCCAAACCATACCTTAATCAGCCCAACTCATAGTTTTGATCAACCTTAGACTCTAAGATCACCATATTTTTGTAACTTATCCGGTTTCAAAATATTTTATCCCATCTGATCTAAACTTTTCTTTTATTATTAATTTTTTTTATATATTTTTTTTAAAATGGATAATTAGAGTTGAATTCATGATAAATAGTTAAATTTTTAGGGTATGTTTTAACTACAACTACCCAAAATCCAAATCTTCAGATTACCTTTACTTGTAAAAGAAATAATAAAAAATTCAAAGAAGCTTATAATAGGAAAGTCTTCAATCCCAAACAATCAAACCATTACTAAACCGACTTTTTCACATTATAAATTGGAGGTAAAGACCCTCAAATCCATAATATTAAAACTATACAGCACCATCTGTAATCGTCATTAAAAATCCTCAAAGGTTTTAACGTAGAAAAGTGAAAAAAAATCGCGATTCAACATGGAGAAGATGATGAAGAACAATAATGAAACAAGTTTCTTGCAATCAAATGATCCAATATACTGCGCTAACGGGTGTGGTTTCTTCGGGACCGCGGCGACAAAGAATCTATGCTCAAAGTTTTACAAAGATTACTGTCTCAAACCCTTGGTGACAACCACTTTGGAGAAGTCCTTAAGCTGCTTATCTTTATCTAGCGATAAAGAAAAGAAAGAGGATAATAATGTTAAGGAGGCTGTTGCTGCGGAGGAGTCGGGTTCGAAGAAGGCGGCTAATAACAGGTGTGAGATGTGTAACAAGAAGGTTGGAATGATAGGGTTCAAGTGCAAGTGTGGGAGTACTTTCTGTGGATCTCATAGGTACCCTGAAGAACATACATGCACGTTCGATCACAAAGCTGCTGGTATTGTTGCCATTGCTAAGGATAATCCTCTAGTTGTACCGAAGAAATTACAGAAAATCTGATCTTTAATAAGTACGATTTAATTAGAGTATCAAAACACTTTTAATCTATAGTTTCAAATTTGTGCTATTTAATTAATTATGAGTGACTACTTGTTTACAATGGGTAAATGTATATGACTAGATTAGGGAAATCATATAATAGTCGATTTTATATGATTTTGGGTTACGACTAATTAAGAAGTTGTATATGTTGCGTCCACTGTATACAAGACTTAGTGTTAGTATTGTTTCAATTGTGAAGCGTATTTTTTTTTTTTTTTTATATAATAATAAGTTTGGTTCTTGGTAATCCTAATGGGCAAATCTATACTATATAATTTGTAACAATGATGTTTTAGTTCAATATATTTCTTTTAGAGTGATATTGATAAAATGTTATGGTTGCACCAAGAATGATATTATTGAGGATAGTGCATGCTGGTATATATGCACTAATTGATCTTGAGTGAGCATTAAGAAACTTTCGATTTCCCTGATTATTACTAATTAATTCAAAGTCAAGATTTGCAACTACTAAATTATGATTTCTTGCTGGTAGCCGGTTAGTCTATGATGACAATCTTGTTTTCGCCATTGGTTGATCAAAGTGCCGAATCTTGGAAAACCTATCTTTGGCTTTGCTTTCGTCTTTGTGAAATTTTACTATATATCACATACCTTCCTTTCATTGCACGAACTCATGTCAATTCTTTTTTAATTTGTAGTGCTAAGCAACTATCTGAATATTATGTTTTGTCATGTTATGTTATGTTATATTATGTTCTGCCTCTGTTTTCTTAAGATATATGCATTCAATTTGTTTCATGTTACAAAGTTTATCAATTGGACAAAAGAATTTGATGTTACATACTTACATATGCATTCCAATTTTCTCTTTGATAACAAAACTGTTTTGTGCAAAATAAGTAAGACAGTCCTATAGTAAAATTTTGTCAAATTGTCTGCATAATCGGTCTGAGTTCTTCTAATAAATTAGTTTGAGCGATGCTAATTACCTCTTAGGTTAGTTATCCTGATGCCTTTAATATAAATAATCCAATAATCATATCATCTACGGAGTAACTTAAAATCTTGACATTGGTTGTTAAGTATAATTACAATTGTGATTTGTGTCTGATAACCGAGTTCTTGTCATTGTAAATGTGTAAATTTTGAAAGAGGCCGGTTGAGAGATAAACAAACACCTCTGTTCTTTGAAGAGTAAACAAGATTGGACTGTGTCAAATATCATGCTAAATTGAATAAACACAATAGCTTAATTCTGATTGATGGCTTCAATCACACATATATAATACAAGCTTACCCTAATATGATAAAATTAGGAAACTAACCAAAGATAACCCAAAAGATATTCTAGCCATAAATTATGGTCACAAAATATATCCTATGATTTCCAAAATATATCCTCAATAGCCCCCCCCCCCCTCTCAAGTTGGAGCATGGGATCAAAAATGTCCAACTAAAAAAGAAGATGATCAAACTGAGCTTCCCAAGCGCCTTAGTAAAAACATCCGCCAATTGCGACAAAGTGGAAACATAGGATGGAGCAGTTAAGCCCTCTGTAATAGCATCACGAACAATATGACAGTCAATCTCAATATGCTTCGTACGTTCATGAAAAACTGGATTTCTGGCAATATGTAGGCAGGGCAGATTGATTATCACAAAACAACTTGATTGCCTCAGGGTGTTAAACCCCCAAACTCAATAATAAGGCCTTTAACCATTTCAACTCACATGTAATCGAAGCCATGGCTCGATATTCGGCCTCAGCAGAAGATTTTGATACTGTAGGTTGTTTCTTGGTCTTCCAAGAAACAGGAGAGTGACCAAGAAACACAAGCCAACCTATCAACGAACGACGAGTAAGAGGACACGCCGCCTAATCTGAATTACACCAACCTTGCAAAGCCAGGTCACTATCTGCACTCAACAAAATACCCCGACGCGGGGTGCCCTTTAAATATCGAACCACCCGCAGAACTGCTTCCCAGTGCTCACTGCAAGGCTCTTGCATGTATTGCGAGAGAACATGAACAGTATACGCCAAGTCCGGTCTTGTAACCGAGAGATAAATTAACCGCCCTACCAGTCTGCGATAAGACTTAGGATCCGCAAGTAACTCACCACTAGCAAGACTAAGCTTGTGATTTTGCTCAATCGGAAAACCAATTGGCTTTGCCCCTAACAACCCTGCTTCTGAAATAATATCCAAGGTGTATTTTCGCTGACACAAAAACAAACCCGATTTACTACGAGCAACCTCGATGCCTAAAAAATACTTCAAAGGACCAAGATCCTTCATCTTGAAACAATCACAGAGGTAAGCCTTGAATACAATCAATGCAGCGAAATCATTTCCATAAACAATAAGATCATCGACATAGACTAAGACATTAATCTGAACATTGCCATTAGTGTATGTGAAAAGAGAATAATCAGAGTAAGATTGGAGAAAACCATAGCCTTTCAAAGTCGTAGTTAGTTTTGCAAACCAACACCTTGGAGCTTGTTTCAATCCATACAAAGACTTTCTCAAGTGACACACCAAACTCAGATCCGAGTTCTCAAAACCGGGAGGTAATTTCATGTACACCTCCTCATCCAGATCACCATGTAGGAAGGCATTATGAACATCCATCTTATGAAGCTCCCAATTTTTAGAAGTGGCTATAGCAAGGAAAGCGTGCACAATAGACATTTTTGCAACCGGAGCAAAAGTCTCACCATAATCGATACCTTCTTGCTGATGATTAATAAAGACAACTAAGCTAGACTTGAGACATTCATTATCACCATTAGACAAAAATTTTGTCTGGTACACCCATTGACTACCTAGAGCCTTCTTGCCGGGAGGAAGATGCTCTAATGTCCAAGTTCCATTGTCTTCTAATGCCCTTATTTCTTCTTTCATAGAATGTCACCAACCTTCAGATTTCATGGCTTCTTTAAAGGATTTTGGATCCTTTTCATGAACAACAGCTGCAAGGAATTTTTGATAATTCACAGAAAACATGTCACAATTCATATAGTGTGCCAAAGGATGAGGTGTACCTAAAGGAGTGTTGGACGACGGAGAGGACGGAGACGGATTATTAGCAAAAACGAAATGAGTCACATAATCTCGAAGCTTGACCGACAGAAAATTTTTACGATGACCCTTACCCAAGACTTCCGGTTGGGGCTACTCGGAGGGGTCCTGGGGCTGGTCGGCATCTGCACTGATGTTGCTGTGCGCGGCATCTGCTATGTTACTGTGCTCACTTGGCCCAGCTGCCGCTGGAAATCCAGCAGGTGAGGCGGTAGCTGGGCTGCTTGGCTGCGAGATCCGCAGCCTGCAAGATTTCCTGCGACAGGTGCATTGGCTGGGCGAACTTCCTGCCCAATCGCGGAATATGCTGCGCCCGCAGGATGTGGGGCAGCTCCCTCTGTCCTCGGGGCAACCTGCACTTCTTCGACTACCACCACCCGAGCATCATCAATATTCACCTCACCATCATCAAAGACCTCATACCCCATTAAATCCTCATGAACGTCTCCATTATCATAGGATATCGACGCTATATTCACATCAGCCGGTGTATCAAAAGGGAACACTCCCTCAACAAATTCACATCACGAGAGATAAAAAAAAACTTTCGACTCAAGGTCATACACTTTCCATCCTTTCTTCCCAAAGGGATATCCCACAAAAACACATTTCCTACTCCGACTTGCAAATTTATCACCATTTGTTTTCTGATTATGGGCAAAACACAAACATTCAGAAGTGCAAATTGCATCAAAAGAAGGAGTTTTATTAAAAAGAATTTTGAAGGAAGTTTTATTTTGGAGCAAGGGTGTGGGTGTACGGTTAATAAGATAAGCAGCAGCTAGAACACACTCACCCCAAAGATAAATAGGTAAATTAGCTTGAAATCTCAAAGCTCTCCCAACGTTAAGAATGTGTTTGTGTTTGCACTTAACCCTCCCATTTTGTTGTGGAGTACCGACATAAGTGGTTTGGAAAATGATACCCGAAGCAACAAAATAATCATGCAAGCAATTAAACTCAGTACCATTATCACTTTGCACAATTTTAATGGTTTGTGAAAGTTGTTTATCAACCATTGCAACAAAAGCCAAAAACATCTAAAAACTTCGGTTTTATCAACCAACAAATAAATCCAAACTGCTCTAGAATAAACATCAACGATAGTAAAAAAAAAAAAAAATAACGAGCTCCACATGATGAAACATGTCGATATGGACCCCACAAATCACAATGTATTTTCTCAAAAATTCTAGAAGCCCTACTATCACTTAAAGGAAATTTATCTCTAGGATGTTTAGCATGCATACATACTTCACACCCCTTATCTAGACAATCTTTATTGCTACTAACATGAGGAAGTAACTTAACTTTCTCGGAAGGATGACCCATTTGACGATGCCACAACTTCAAATTTGAGGTCGCTTCACCAACACCAACATGATGCACCGAATCCGAATTGCTAAAATAATAGAAACTGTCTCTCCTAGCTCCCGTTCCAATCAGCTCCTTCGTTTGGTCCTGAATAACACACATATAAGGGTTAAATTGGACAATGCAATTAAGCTCATCGGTAACTTGTGACACAGAAAGTAAATTACAACTCAAATAAGGAACATAAAGAACCCCTGTGAGAGTGATTTTGTTTCACAAACGAACAGAACCAATCAAAGAAGCCACGACAGTATCACCATTAGGTAAACCAACCGGACATTCAAAATTCGAAGTATCAAATAACCAAGATTTTCTCCGGTAACATGATGGGTTGCTCCGGTGTCTATAATCCAAGAAGTAACATCAAACTTACCATTCAAGCGATTTGCAGGAACATTTGCGTTACCAAACAAACTCGTGATAATTTTCCATTGTTCACTTGAGAACACTTGTCCTTGAGAAGAGGAGCTTTCGGTAGGAGCATTAGAACCCGAAACAGCATTGGCTCTCACCGAACCTTGACCACGACCAGCCAAATATTTCCCTACCTGGCTGCCATCTCTCGGGGGAGGTCTTCCATGTAGATCAAAGCATTTTTCCTCCACATGGCCACGCTTCTTGCAGTAATTACAAGTTTTATCCGACCAACAACTCAAGGTCTCATGACCCACTTAGCACACATCGAACCATGCCCCTCTCGACCACGATCTGTATTCTCATAGCCACGAGTTGCTGCTGTACGGACAGCAAAGCTAAGTTCCTCTGAAGGCTTTTGTTCTTGCTCCTGCTTTGCTGCTCGTACTCTTTCCTCCTGCACAACCAACTGATATGCATGGTCTAGGCTAGGGAGAGGATATTGAGACAATATATTAGAACACAAGGAAGCATAAAAATCAAAGTATAGTACAAGCCCATCAAAAAATCATGTAATTTCGATTTCTCTCGCCTAGCTTTATCTAATTGACTGGCAACATACTGTGAACAACAAGAACATGAAAT